CACCTCCGCCCCCGCCAGCCTGGCCCGTATGAGTCCGTGCCGCTCCTTGAGATGCAGGATCTTCACTTTGGGGAAGCGCAACATGTACTCGTCCAGCTTCTCCTTGAGGTACTCTGCAGAAGGAGAGGGTGCGGCTGACTTACCTGGCTTACCTGCTTCACGCCCACGTCCAGGGGTGAAGCCAGGCGGCAATTTTCCCTGGAAGCATCTCCAGACACACCAGGGTCCTAGGGGGCAAGCATCTGGGCACAGCTGCAGGGCTGCCGCTGCACAGCGTCACGGTCCATGAAACTCCCGCTACGTCGGTGCCAGCCGGCTGGGGCTGATGTATAAACATTTCTGCTGGTGATGTGTCTCCTGGTGCCCTGTGACAGGGGGAGTTTGGTTCCAGGGGCTCACTGTGGGCGGTGGGCTCGTCTCCCGCTCCCTGCACGGCGGGCGGGTGGTCTGCACTATTCAACAAAGCCAGCGGGTGCAGCAAAGGTGGATCCATACCCAGTGCCATGCGAGTGCAGCGGCTCGCTGCGCGCAGGAGACGGGGAAAGTGGAGAGCAGCAAGTGCAGGGCTTTGGTGACAGGGCACGAGCAAAGTCCCAGTGGCCTCACTTGGGTAGCTCATGAGCCAAACCAGGTATTGCATGATTGTTCAAAGACTCCAAAATTAAATTTTCTTCTTCATTGCAATTAAATTCTGGTTGCAAATTCTTTTATTTTTGCCTAAAAAACCAATTTTTTTTGGTGCTGTACAGTATGAAGCACCACATTTAAATACTTGGCCCAGGTTTAAACTGCACGAGGGTCTGCCATGGCCCATCACTGCTTTTCAGGTTGCTTTTGTCAGGGTTTCCCCTGGCTGCGGAGGCAGCGGGCAGTATGCTCTCAGGAAAAAGAGGCTGTGAGGAAGGTGGCTGGCACAACGCGAGCACCGGGCAGTCCTGTTTGCGGGCTGTTTACCTGCGGCAGAGGGAAATGGGCTTCACTGATGCTTGTTGGTCTTCTCCAGGAGAATGTAACTGCCTTTCCAAAGCCAGTTAAAAGCTTTGAAAGGCCCCAAAGGTGAAACACTTGTGGACACGTTGGCCGTGGGTTATCGTGCTGCCCCTCGGATGGCAGCGATGCCGAGCACAGCTCCGTCACCCACCCGCACTCACCAGGGGTCGGTTGCAAACCCAGCGTTTCAGACGCCCACCGGCTAACGAGCAGATACAAAGGGAAGCCATGGGGAGGAAGTAAAGGGAAAACTTGAAAAGACACTTTTGAGGGGAAATGATATCAATATGTTCTAATGATTAATTTAAAAATTAGCAAACTGAGTCTTTTTCCTCTTTTTTGCACCCATTGTCTCGTTGCACTGTAGGCTCTGTATGTGTGGCAAGAGCTCCCAAGTTTGTCTGAAGCAGCACTTTCCCTGAAGGACCAGCAGTTGGAAAATTACATCATTCCTAAATTTTTCAGGGCTGAAGTCAGCAGCGAGCCAAAGCATTACAAAGCAGAGGTTCAATATCATCTGCCAGGCCTGCGAGCCCACATGCAAACCCACTGCGCACGCAGACGCCCTGCTCACCGCTGCTTTTACTGCAACCACCCCGTTTACCGTTGGTGCTGTCCCTCCCTGCTGCCAGCACCGAAAACACGGGGTACTTGGCTGAAAACCGCACAGAGAAGGGTGACAGCATCTGTTCTATCAGTGCACAAACCCTGGAGCCAGGACGCTGCGCAGGCACGTGGGTCGGGTGCTCCTGGACCACATGGGCACGAAGCAGCACACAAGGGTGAGCTCAGGGCTGCCCAGCTGTCAACCTGGCAGCTGCTTGGGTGGATGGGGATGGGAGAGACGTGAACAATAAAGTCTGGCACAGCGTTAGGCCAGAGCTGCGGCTCAACCTGCCACAGCCACCCCCCAGTGTCACCTGGCCACTGGTCCCCCCCATCTGGGAAGGGGGGAGTGACACACTTCAATACACTGCAAGGAGAAAATGTGATTTCTTCCTCCTATTCAGAATTGGATTACAGAGAACAAATTCTATTTTATCCTCCAGTTATATTAGTTTCATAAAGGCAGGAGCAGCTTTCGCCTACCTTTAGTGCTGCAGTCGTCCACCAGAATGAGCTCCTCGATCAGGCGCGGCGGGGACCTGCCCAGGACGCTGTGCACGGAGCGCAGCAGTGTGGACCACACCTCGTCCACGAAGCACATGATGATGGAGGTGGTCGGGAGGTCGTTGTGGACCCGCTGCTCTGAGCACCTGCAACAGCAACAGAGGCTCAGAGATGCTGTCACACCCCTGAAAACCCCATGGCCTGGGGTTTGTTGGGAAAACGCACAGGGATGGGGGGACTGCCAGGGTGAAATACGGAGGCAAAGCCCTGCAGGGGGGTTTGGCCGGGAGAGGGAGCAGAGGGGGAGCAGGGGACCTCCCTGCACAGTCCCATGGGGTTGTGATGCCCTCACTCCTTCCCAACAGGCGCCTCTCAACTCCCTGCCCCAGCGATAGCATCTCCATCTGCACCACCAGCCCTGGGGACCCTGCAGAGACAGCACCCCTGGGTGCCCTCCCGTGATGCTCCAGGCACCCACAGGGCTGGGGGGCTGCGCTGCCTGAGAGACCCTCGCTGGAAAAAGATAATCAGTATTATGTTCAAAATGCAGGGAAACGGCCATTTATTTCCAGGAAGGGCTACTCAACACAGCAACTTGTCAAACATGCAGTGACAAGAGTCACCCAGCCCAGCTTCTGCACCCAACCCAGGAGACTGTGGAGGACGGGAAAACATTAAAGCATCTGGGTTTCACGTATAACAGCAGTGGCGGGTCCACTCCCTGAGCATCCTGTATCGCATGCCCCGAGCATCCCCCACGTCCCCTGGGGATGCACTGGCCCGGGGCTGAGTTGCACCCACGGCCCTTGCAAACAGGCAGCAATACACATCGGCAGAGCTGAGGGAGTGACAAAATTTCTCCAGTGTCTATGAGTTTGTAATTTTATTCCTGGCTGGGCCAGGTCCGTGCCTTCTGCGTTTGAGCAGCAGGGTGATGAGCAGCTTTTCCCACCTTCCATGTGCAGTTCCAGCCCTGCCATGTGGCCTGCCGGGGAGCAGGGCTCCCACTGCTCTCCCGTCTCCAAGCGGATTTGCAGGACGCCTGGCACATCGTTCCTCTCCCCTGGCCCCGCCGGCGTATCCCAGATACCCACAAACTGCTGGGACTGCTGTTCTCTCTCTCCCAACAGGCTGGAGCCTGGCAGCAGGTTTTCTCTCTGGTCCCTGCAGGGCAGAGCTCCTGCAGCAGGATGGGCACCAGCACGTCTGCAGGTGAACATCTCTGTGATGAAAACACCGCTCGCTCTGCTGTCAGCAACAGAAAACAGGGACAGGTATACGGGAGCATACGGAAAATTGACTTCTCCTTCTTCTGTTGTGACGCACAGACCCTCGGGTTCGGCTGGTGCTGGCGACACTGATGCCAAGGCATGGTGCAGCTCAGCCCGTATGGTGTTTGGAAGAACACTCAGATGTGTTTCAGGGCTTTGCAGCTAAGCTGAAGTGCTCTGGATGAGTGAAAATAACCCCGGAGTTCCCCTCTGTTGCAATCCTTTGGATGTGTCTTTCCTTCTCTTTCCGTAGCCCGGCTCACCCTGGGCAGCGGCTGGGGCTGGCTCAGAGGCGATTTCTGCTCCACAGCTCCAAGGATTTGCTGCCAAAGACCAAAAGAGCAGTGGCTTCGAGCCACCACGGCTTTTCTCCTGTGCACTGGTGGCTTCTGTGGCTGGCATCTCCTGCCCACCAGAAAGCCGTCCTGGCTGCGTCCCTCCTTTCCTGCCCGTGCAGGACCCCGCTCAGCTCGCAGGCGAGCACCGACAGCGCTCTGGGGCAGGGGGCTTCTGCTGCCAACACAGCCTGACGGGGTGCACAGGAACCAAACGCACAAATATTGAAACTGCACAGTGCTCAGTGCTGCACCTGATCAACCAGATAAAACATTTTAGGGCAGAAAGATGCCTGAGCCCCATTGTCTGCCCGGTGTGCCCCAGCCTCTCCGGATAGCAGGGCTTAGCACGTTGAGACAATCTGCAAATTTTACCCAGTTTTACATGTTAACAACAAGCTGCTCTCACCTGGAAAGGCAAAAGCCATCTCATGACTAGGAGGCAGGAAGCGAAGGCCTCCGTGTGCCCAGCAGCCCTCCCCAGGAGCCACCAGCCCCCAGTCCCCGGGGCCGCGGCGCAGGTATTGGTGCAAGGGAAGCGGATCTTACCCGGCTGGCCTGGTGTCCACTATGGCGCGGTCCACGGGGATCAAATCACTGAGGTAGACATTGAAGTTTCCTTCTTTCCATCTGCTTTTGGCTTCTTCTTGTTTATCATCAGGGACCGCAACAGGGTGCCCAAACTGGCCTGGAGCTCCAGGGTCTCTTGGGGCGAGTGTCGCATCCACGGACAAGACCCTGTGCATTCCCGGGATGCTGCCACCTCCCCGCGCCTGCCCGTCCCTGCTGGTCACCGGCGCCCGCTCCATGTGTCACACCCAGGGTCCAGCTCCGTCCATCCAGCGCCATAGCCCCAGTGACGGTGTCCACAACATGTGCACTGTCACCTTTTTCATTAGCGAGATGATGCTCTTGGTGCTTTTCTTGGCTCCTCGTGAAGTTCCCCGTGGAGTCGGCTCCAGGATGCGGGACTGCCAGGCTGGTGGGCTTCACCCCCTCCTTGCTGATAATTACAAAGTGACTTTCGGAGGAAGTTTCTCTCTTTCCCACTCGTGTTTCCCCCCGCCCGGG